GCAGCAGCAGCAGCAGCAGCAGCAGAGAAGGGATGGTGCCCACCTCCTTAATGGTACAGCAAATGGGCTTGTGGGAAATGATCCTCTCATGCGCCAAAATACTGCAACTGCTAATGCAATGGCTACAAAGATGTATGAGGAAAAATTAAAATTACCAATGGAGAGGGATTCATTGACAGATGCTGCAATGAAGGTAGGTGATTGGTCTTTTCCTCACTTCACTTTCCACTTTTTCTCAAGTTTGATTTCAGGAGTGGTGGATTGACTGGAATTTTCGAAGCATGACTACTTTATTTTATTATCTTTAAAACTTTTTACAGCAAAGATTTGGTGAGAGTGTAGGGCATCTTTTGGATCCAAATGCCTCGATTTTGAAGTCTGCTGCAGCAGCAACTGGCCAGCCTTCAGGGTGCTTTTCTGTTCTATTCACCTTTATTGCTTAATCATATACTTGAACTTGTGGTTAGAACAAAAACTAGAATGATAAATGTTTTTTATGCAGCATTTGAAATGATATTTTTATGTATTTCATATTAATTGCAAAGTTCGTGTTAATTATTCTGTTTCTTTTAAATAAATACTAGTTGGTGTGATTTTGCAACTAATGTTACACAATCTTGATTATTATATACATGTCTGAATAAACACTCATTGATTTTGCAATTTAGTTGTTGAATCTTGTAATTGATTCAAAACTTTTTTTGATGTTGTATAACCTAATTTCAGGCAAGTGTTGCATGGTGCTTCTGGTGGAATGTCCCCACAGGTCCAGGCTCGGAATCAGCAGTTGTCAGGGTCCACGCCGGTATGGGTTCCATAGGGTTTTCTCATCATTTTAGATTTTCTTTATCATTAAACTGTTCTAAATTTTGTCCGGGATGGAATCAGGACATGAAGAGTGAGATAAATCCTGTGCTGAATCCAAGAGCTGCTGGTCCAGAAGGATCACTGATAGGAATTCCTGGTATGCTTTGTTCATGGCATTTCCCTTTTTACATGTTATCATTGATTGATCCTGATTTCAGATAGACAAATTACATTCTAATGCACTTGTGAGACTATTTGATCTTTAACTTAATGCCTTCATCTTTCAATTTAACAGTAAACTGTGGCTTATTATAATCTGTTTGGTTTAGAGATGCCCGTGGCTAAACATGTAGGTCCTTGCTTTTCAGGATCAAATCAAGGTGGCAACAATTTGACTCTAAGAGGATGGCCACTCCATGTAAGTTTTCCCTGGTTCAATTGTTCCTGAAAATTCTACATTTTACATGCATTATTATGGTTTAATTTTGGATGCACAATGGCAAATAACATGCTTACTGTGAATGTGTATGCATATTGGACCCTATTGCTTCCTTGTCAGGGATTGGAACAACTTCGATCAGGACTTCTTCAGCCACAAAAACCTTTTATACAGGCTCCTCAGCCCTTTCATCAAATTCAGATGCTAACACCACAGCACCAGCAGCTTATGCTGGCACAACAAAATCTAACATCACCAGCTGCTAGTGATGATAGTAGAAGGTTGAGAATGCTTTTAAATAACCGGAATATGAGTATTGGAAAGGATGGCCTTACAAACTCTGTTGGTGATGTTATTCCAAATGTTGGATCCCCTTTGCAAACAGGTGGCCCACTTTTGTCTCGTGGAGATCCAGATATGCTGCTTAAGGTTCAATGATTCTTTGAATTAAATGTATTTTTTATGTCTTCCTCTAGTTGTGACTTCATTCTCATAAATTTTAATGTTCTGAAAAAAACTTCCTTTCATATGCAGTTAAAAATACACCAGTTACATCAGCAACAACCGAACAGCAATCCACAGCAGCAACTTCTCCAGCAGCATGTGCTTTCAAATCAGCAATCACAGAGTTCAAATCACAATCTTCATCCGCAAGATAAGATGGGGGATGCTGGCAGTGTCAATGTTGATGGTAGCATATCCAACTCTTTTCGAGGAAATGATCAGGTCTTTTTTTTTTTTGTGTTACCTCTAATACACCTTTGTAACTGGTGGTCTGGCCGCATGACATCCTTTTGATTGGTGGTGTAGCTTCATTATCTTAATTTTTCAAACCAGCTGTTAATATTTCTAGATACATTAGTGGAACCAGTTTGGTATTGTTTTAGATCTCAATTACTTCAAACTTTTTACTTAAGACTAATCATGGAGGACTCCTTAGCATGCAAATATTTGCTTCTCTGTTCTCTAATAGCTCACCCCTTTGATGAAAGTTTCAGAAGATGGCAAATGTAGTTTGGTTAATAGGGTGCCAAGTTGACTGCACTTGCAGTTCCATTAATTTATTGGAAACCAAATATACCCTCTCTACGGCAGTAGTTATAAAACATGCCTTTTGACTTCTCCCTGTATCTGGATTAACCTTCATGTCATGGATTTTTGTTGCTCCGCTTGTCTTAAATTGAGATTTTATTACCTTTACAAGATGTTGCACGCTAGTTAGTTCATTTTAAAAGCAGCATGCTCAATATGACTGACCTTTACAGGTTCCTAACATGGTTTTCCTTGTTGCATCTTAAGGTTTCAAAAAACCAGACTGGGAGAAAGAGAAAACAGCCAGTGTCTTCTTCAGGTCCTGCCAATAGCTCAGGAACTGCAAATACAGCAGGACCCTCCCCAAGTTCAGCACCTTCAACGCCTTCAACCCACACACCTGGAGATGTGATCTCAATGCCTGCTCTGCCTCATAATGGTGGTTCTTCTAAGCCTTTTATATTTGGGGCGGATGGTACAGGCACTCTTACATCACCATCAAATCAGTTGGTGAGAAGATTTTTCATCCTTTTTATTGGTGAAGGAATTGAAAATTCCTTGCTTGAATTCTCATTGATATTCCATTTTGGCAGTGGGATGACAAAGATCTTGAATTGCAGGCTGATATGGATCGTTTTGTGGAGGATGGATCTCTTGAGGATAATGTTGACTCTTTTTTATCCCATGATGATAATGACCCTAGAGATGCAGTTCCTCGTATGGATCTGAGCAAAGGTGTGCAGATGAAGGCCTAGTTTTTCTTTTGACAAGATTTTCTCAGAACTTTGGTTCCTGGATCTTGTTGGCTTTTTTGTCAAGATCATGTATATACCTTTCTTAAATATGATGCAATGATGCTGTGACAAATTATTCACAGATATTTCATCTATCACTGGTTATTGATAATGATATGCCTCTTTGTGTTCCCTTGTTTTTTATTGAATTGATAAATACATGTAAAATGTAATGACATGGCGGACTTATTTTGAAAATTGTCTTGTTTATGCACTATGATTTACCGAGTGTAGAATTTTGATGTGACTTCAGGATTCTCATTTACTGAAGTAAATTCTGTTAGAGCAAGTGCAAGCAAAGTAGTCTGTTGCCACTTCTCATCAGATGGAAAATTGCTTGCTAGTGGTGGCCATGATAAAAAGGTGAGTATAAAAAAATGACAGGTTGCTATATTCCTAATTCTAGGTTAATTAACCTATTGGAAGGTTTCTTATAAAGGAAACTTTTTAAAAAGTTATAAATATATGGGATAATTCGATGCCACATTCTCATTGTCAAGCTTCTGGGATGCTTGTTTGAAATTCTGTTTTGCCTGTCCAAAACGTGAAATTCTATGCCTTATGTGTATTATCGAGTAAAGAAAAAGGAAGATAGGTATTCTTTTGGCTGCTTTGTACTGACCCAAAATACAATGTTAATTTTTTGTTTGATGGTTTATGATACAGGCTGTATTGTGGTACACGGATAATTTAAAGGCAAAAACTACCCTTGAAGAACATACATCTCTGATTACTGATGTCCGTTTCAGCCCAAGCATGTCACGACTTGCAACATCATCATTTGACAAAACTGTTAGGGTTTGGGATGCTGACAATGTTAGTATGATATTCTTTCTTTATGACTATCACAATTCTTTGCAGCTAATTCTTGCTTCTTTTTTTTTTTCTCTATATCTTTTTTTATCGTGGAGTGTTTTATTTCTGAACAACTCCTTTGCAAAATGTAAATTCATCTGTTCAATTTCATAAAGATGTAATTCTTAAAGTAACTTTCATATTTGGTGGATCCATACCATGCTAGGTTTTTTTCCTCTTTATTGAATGGTAATAGGATGATTTTTTTCCCCTCTAATTGAGGATATGACTTTTCTCTATCCTTTTGATGTTGCATCCTTAAATTTATGTCGTTAATAACTTTACAATGGTGTATGCAGCCTAATTTCTCACTCCGCACTTTTACCGGACATTCTGCCACTGTAATGTCACTAGACTTCCACGCAAATAAAGATGACCTTATATGCTCTTGTGATGGAAATGGTGAAATAAGGTACTGGAGTGTTACCAATGGTAGCTGTGCAAGAGTATTCAAGGTAGGTCTTGTAGACCGGTTTATGATATCAGAGACTTAGTGGATTCGACATTGGTAGTCTCCTTTATTATTTTTATTTTTTCTAGTTTTCTAGCTTGTGGTCACTGATAGTTGTTTGGATAGGGTGGCATGACCTGTATGAGATTTCAACCTCGAGTGGGAAGGTATCTTGCTGCTGTGGCTGAAAATGTTGTGTCTATACTAGATGTTGAGACACAAGCTTGTCGGCATTCATTAAAGGTTAGTGGTGTTGTCTTTCATCTATGTGAATGGAACCAGGATGCACAAAAGGTCAAAGTACTATTTAACGGTATTCTCTTGCTGTTTGTAAATATAGGTGCCAACTGTATTCAATCATCTGTATTCACCAATATATTTTATTTACTGTAGTCATTTTGCACCTTCAGTTGCCTCACTCATGGTGACAAAAGTCGCCTGTTTTTATCTAAGAGGACACTGATGTTTTTCTTGCATAACATGGATATCTGTTGTTCCTGTTTGTATTCGTATTTTAAGGTGTCTTCACATTTTGCTTAAACTGATCCAGATTCCGTGTGTACTCCACTCATGAATGTCTTGTGCCTTTCCCTTTTTTTTATTCTGCGTGCAGTTTAGCTGACCTTCTGATATTTCTAACTGTAGGGACATACTAAGCCAATTCATTCTGTTTGTTGGGATCCTTCTGGTGAGTATCTGGCATCTGCCAGTGAGGACTCTGTCAGAGTCTGGACGCTTGGATCAGGAAGTGAGGGCGAATGTGTTCATGAGTTGAGTTGTAATGGCAACAAATTCCACTCCTGTGTTTTCCACCCTACATTCCCTTCATTGCTAGTCATCGGCTGCTACCAGGCACGAGATTTCTGCTTTGTTCTTTGTACTCTGCAATTTCACTATCATCATTAGCATCATAGTTTTAAATCCTACTTGCAGTTGTGGATGCTGATTGTGGACTTAGCAGGTGTTGAAAACAACTATCGTGGCTATTGTTGTCATGAATCTTTAGTAATTATTAACAAATTTTAGAAACGTATGTTTTTCTAATAATTGCATTAAGCTGTAGAATAATAACATTTCTAGTCAAATTTCATACAAACAATACATTACACGCGCACACACTCGAAAGGAGTGAAAACTATGAAAACATGAATTTTGCATGCTAAATCTATATTTATAAAAATCATTATTAGTAGGTAGGCCATTGTTGGGTTGTTGACCTGTTATTTTCACAATAATAGCCAACAAATGGCTGTTGCCATTATAATAACACCATAGCTGTCATTGTTGTGAATTGCTACTAACGGCATTGTTTTTTGGTAAACAATGGCTGTTATTTAAAACCAATATTAGTATTGTTATCATCTGGTGTTGATGGTGTTGTCTCTAGCTTCTATATCAGCTAGCAATATGGTTTCCTTTGCTGCAAGTTTTTCTTATTAGGATTTGGTAAATTTTATAACTGTTGCATAGGTTGGTGATGGTTTACCATAGCCCTAAACCTGCATTATTTCTCTTACAATTGTATGTGATGTTCTCCACTCCGAAGATTGTCCATGTTGGATCCAGGTTAAAGGTCACATCAGTTCTCAGAATATGATTACAGTTTTTTGATATCTGGTGGAATTTTTTTTTTGAGAAGTCCTGAAAAGTTTTCTAATGTGTCTTGTATATTTTCATTTGCATCCTCCCTCTGATGCTGCCTTTTTGCCCCCCTTTTTCCTTTTATTTCCCTTTGCTGAGTTGGGAAGGGCCATTCACACTTGGGACTGGGTTCTATTCATATCTTTTTCAATACCTGCATTATATTTTGTTGTGGGTTCTCTGATATGCACCTGTGGTATATGCTGCAGTCTTTGGAGCTTTGGAACATGGATGAGAACAAGACAATGACTCTGCCAGCCCATGAGGGTCTAATTGCTGCTTTGGCTGTATCAACTGCTACAGGGTTGGTTGCTTCTGCTAGTCATGATAAGCTCGTTAAACTGTGGAAATGATACATGCTTGTTTCTCTTTGTTGTTCAAGTTCTAGCTTGTTTATTTTGGTTACTCGATCTCCCCATTTTGTGTTCTATTCAAATATCAGGTCACTATAACCCCAGAAACTAACCTTATATGTTGGTGTATCTGTTACATGACCACTTCTGTAACTTGCAAATCAATGGTCAAACATCCTGGACTATTTTGTACTCTAGGAAGTAAATGGTTTATGTTAATAGTTTTCTGGTTCACAGTGTTCTGGCTCAAACTTGCTTATGCTGGACCTTTTTTGGCTCATCTCATCTACACTTAGTTAAAGCGTAATTCTTTTCCTCGACAGATTGCTTTATGCATTCCACATCTTTTGTTTGATTTTGATTATTGGAAGAAATGTGAGGAAGGTTTCATTATTAGAAATTTGCACAAGCTTCCAAATCATAAGTAGCCAAAAGCAGAGGAATCAACAAGCTAGTTGACTGAAATGTCTCAAGGTGTCTAGAAGAGGGCCTGATGCTGAAATCTATACGTCGTGCATGAGGATAGAGGGGGAGAGGTGGGGGATGCTTGTGTTGTATTTTGGTGAATAGTGGGGCCAAAAGCGCACATTGAGTTCCGGTGGGATATAGAGCACAGGAAGTGCAGTGCATGCGTTCACTCCTGGGCGCAGGGCCTTTGCATCTCATCATTGGGCAGCAAAACCTTGTAATCCATTATGGAGTCAGAAGTTATCTCCTCGCAAGCTAAAGTTGCTATCAGCTACCAACATCCTGATTATACAATATGGCTTGATGTTGGTTTGGCTGGTTGAAACAATCAAATAGGACGGACATAACTTCGAAGATTGTTTCTAACTAAATTCGTAGAATTGTGTCATAGCTCCCCGACATTGCATTAACTGTTGCGCAAGCGGTCTACGACATCACTCCCAGCAATGACCGCTTTAAAAAGGATCTGGACTAATTCGTTTTAGTTTTAACATGCTTTGCATGTCGAAGCCCGGTCTTTTCGCTAGATGTGTCTTCAATAGGTCATCTTTGATGCCCCTTCTGTAGTCTTTTTCAAATTTAAACCTGAGTAATCAAAGCTCGCCTTCAAATGCAAGTGGAAGGGAGTCATGAGTGTGCCTTATCACTCAAGCAAGTTGTACACCTCTCTTCTCCAACTGTTCTCCTTTGCGTCAGTGGACAAGTTATCATGGCGACAATACTGGAGGAAGCACGTATTTAAGTTTGTGTTCATGCAAAAGATTACTACCCCTTGCATAGATAAAATCTTAACAAACACAGTCAAGGTGACGAGGGAAAGGGGGGCTTTCTTATTCTCCTTCTGCGCAAAGGTACAAGGAGACCTAACTGTTGATTGAAAAGAGAGAAGAAACCAGGAGCATTGATGGCTGCAAGTGCAAGATTACCTCACCATTGCCTTGTATGGCAATTTGTGGCATTGTCCATTTGCATACGTATCGTGTAGCTTCCATTCAGCTCCTATCTTCTCCCTTTCCTTTCTAGAGTGTTTTCAGGCTATCTTGGCGTCACTTTTCTTCTTCTTTGATTGGGAAAAACTTTTAACTATTAGGCTGCCAAAGGTAAAATTTTAAGGAGCTATTTGTTTCAGAATGTAAAAATCTTGAAAATGCAAGGTAATTGTAAACCAAAAAAACAAATAATTGAATGTTAAGGATGAACAAAAATGACATAAATTGCATTAGGTTAACGTTTCAAGACAGAAGACATAAATTGCATTAGGTTAACGTTTCAAGACAAAAGACAAAATGAAAAGATATATATATAAAAAAAAAACATGTTTGATTAGGTTAGAAAGATAAATACATTTCTAAAATAAATTTATATCATTTTAAAATATATATTTTTTAAATTTATATTCAATGAAAATCTACATTCTTATGGATACAACTCGTTGACGTATATAAGCCGCCAGAATCAAGGGCATTATTTTTTTTTCTTATTTTTTTCAAGACAACGAGGACATGACTCGAAAAGATACCCTTCTAATTGTCTTCTCCCTGTAGTAGGGTGAGCTCATTGAACAATATTGGTGCTGTTTAAACAGAAAGAAAAAAATAAAAAGAATAAACTTTCTTACGATGAATGTCTCTGGTTGGGCACTAGGGATAGTGATGGAACCCTAAATGTTTATCTCATATTCATGTCAACGATTCTGCCGTGATCATGTGGCAAAACAATGTCAGTCAGGGATGATGGGTGACGTTCTAAGAAACTATGAAAACCCCACCCTATATGATAGAGTACTGATCATGATTATAAATAAAGAATAGTTTTTTTTCTAAAGTATTAAAATAACATTTTTTAAAATTTATTTTTAACATCTAAAAACAATTAAAAAAATAATTTAAAATAAAAAAATTCAAAATTTAACAGAAAAAACCAAGTTGAAATTCACTCATATCCCGAGATATCCTATCCTCCACCGCAACTCTGACCTTCTGATTTGAGTTATGATTTGACAGTCTAATCAAACAATTGGTGGAGCAGCAAAACAATGCTAGCTTAGACAAGAACTTTTTTGCTACGCTTGCATGATCTACAGTGTGAGCCAAAATTATTTTGATTGGATTCCTCTGTTATAACCCTATCATACTTACGTATATGTGTATACAGCTACAAAAGTGACCCATCAGAGACTTTTGTCAGCATACATTTATAGCTAAAACTGGCTTCATTTAGCCATTGTAATTTTGTGTTTTGGACCCCCCCCGCTCATACCAGATATGGTAGCAAGATAGAAGACAAGAAAAACGTTATGAATATATTAATATGTGGGCAATATACTGTGAAATCCCTTTATCTTGTGGAACCAAAGGAGAGTAGGATCCTTTTAGCTAGGTCCATGTCTTCTCCTCTTATTTTTTTCTCTCCTTGTGCACGCAAGGGAGTAGGAACAGAAGTTAGTCGGCACAGAACTGAATTAATGAAAGATGCAGCCATCACTTAGGTCCAAGTGGAAAGGGACAAAGTTATAGTCACCCTTTCTTTATTGTAAGAGAGCAAATAATCGAGTAATAAATTACATTGAATTAAACAGCTTCCAGGGGTACCTTGTGCAAAACACTAAATGGGTGTTTTTCTTTACCTAATTACGAAGTGTTTTTTAAACTATTTTTTATTGAAGAACATTAAATTTAAATTATTCTTTTTTATATAGATCTTTTGAATAGTGGTGGTTGAACCGATCGACTTGTGAAGTGGGAGAACCTATGAAATTTGCCAATGGTACTAGCTCTAGCACCCGTATATATACAGGAAAGTGATTTAGATACAGCCTGCCTAGATAGAATAATATTGTACCGTGTGGCTCGCGATGCCAATATTTCAATCAGCATATATAGTTCTTGACGATGTATCATTTTCGTATGCCCCATTAGGGTTAGTACTTGTCTCTCCAGGTTTATGGGTGCCAATATTGCTACGTGACTTCATATCCTTCTCTCTCGTAATCTTCCATTGTAATACTTGAAGGAAGAAAGGCATGCTTAAGGTTTAGGGTTCTCTGCTTAGAAGGATTGGTTATGTTCTACAATATATAAAATGAGTTTGAATTCACTTGGAGCTAGTGTATGGTTCTGGACCCTCCTTTACCATGTAGCTAGTGTCAAGATTTAATGCCTTCAATAGGACTACAGGAGACCTCTCTGGCTAGCTAACATGTGAATGCCACCTTTTCAACAGACCAACAAGGATATAACCAGCCATGTTGTTATGATCATGTAAATGCATCCAAAGAGACATTTTGGTTGTTTATGTTGGCCTGGTTACTCATTGATGAATTGAGTGAAGAGAGCTCTGGGGGCCTACATTGCCCCTATTTCCCAATACATTCATTGAATAGTGGTAGTTTTATTTCCCAAGTCTTCACAATAAATATATATTATATCGCTTTTTGAAACAGTGACGGCAAGCACAAATATTTATGCTATTTCACTAAACGAATTTGCAGTTGTGTTATTTCTCGTCAATATTTTAATTCTTCTTGCTAATAGCACAAAACCTTCATTTATTAGTGGATTAAATTGATTTTTGTTGAATTAGTTAGAGTTATTAGTAGATTGAATTGACTTTAAGCAGCTAGGTACCCTAGTTGATTTCATTCAAAATTCACATATATAAAGTTTTAGATGTCTAGATTAACACCTTATATTATAATTTTTTTTTGAATTTGAGAAAGTTCTCGAAAAACATACTTTATGGATCTAGGTGAGCGAGTAAAACCCCAATTGTTTCAGGTTTTTATAAAAAATATATGTCTTGATTCGAACTCAAAATCTGCTATGCAGATCTCAAAATGTTTGCCATCATACTACGTTTAAATCTCACAAAAACTTTAATATCATATTAAAAAATTATCTTACCTAAAAATTTAAATTATTTTATAACCTCCAAGCAGTAAGATTTATTAGTGGATTTTATCCATCACCTACACACCTATCTTGATTAGATTTATTAGTAGATTTTATCCATAACCTACATACCTATCTTGATTAGATATTTAAAACACTTTGGATGATAAAAATTTAAATTTAAATTTAATTTTTTTATATGTTTTTGTGTATGTGTGTGTGATCATTAACTATCATGGAACCACGGTGGAAACAAAAATGGAAGATTCGTATGGGTCATTGACAAGATAAGGATTGGCTGGCCTCTTTGTCTAATTTCATGAAATAATTCCTTGAAACTGACTAAATAAGCAAGGCAATTAAACTCATTATTGTCTGGGTACGTTAATATCTCAGTGCCCTTGAGTAGAATGTGTTTGCTTCTGCATATATGGCAAAATGCATTGACGGTAAGTAAGATCATAAATACCCGAACAAGACAATACAGGCATAAACATGCTGCCTCTCTAGCTAGAAAATCATTTCGGATGCTTGGGCTATGGGCACCCACAAATTCAACAATATTGGAACTTGTTAGATTTGTAGAGAGCTGAGCGGTATTATGAAGGAAGACCTTGCTAGCAGGCTTGATAGATACTAACCACATCATGCCTCAAATTAATGATTTTATAATGACATGTTTTGGGTTAATTTGTAGAAGTTTTTTTTTTTTAATTTCTTGAATTTAAATATTAAAATCAACATATTATTCTCTTAAATATATTATAAAGCCGTTTTTAAACTTATCTTTTGTGTTTTGAAAAATTAAAATGATTTATGATGTAAGATACATGGTAAAATTTAAAATATAAATTATAATTTTTAAAAACACAGGATAAACAACTAAAATTTTTTATAGAAGTTAATTGCCACCGATATAGAACCAGAAAATAGAGAGACATCCACACATGGAATAGTGGAAACAAAGGGCAAGCAAGGACTAGGAAGCAATGATGGGTGCCCAGATCACTTCTTCAAAAGTTGAACCCAATTTTTGGACATACTCGAACTACTTCTCTTATTTAATGAGATATACCTCTCTAGCTAGGACTACTTGTACTACAGCAAACAACAGCATAGAGAGAGAGAGAGAGAGAGAGAGAGAGAGAGAGAGAGTGAGAGTGAGAGAGAGAGATATGACTGTATCTAAGGTCGAAATCCCATTTCTTGATTTCTCTGAAGAAGCTTTGACAGGCTTAGAAGTTAAGAGTGAGAAGTGGAAAGAATTGTGCAACCAAGTTAGAGAGGCATGTGAGGCTCATGGGGTCTTCTTTTTGGTTTATGATAAGATCCCTAGTAGCTTACGTGAAGAAATGTTTGGTGCCATGAAGGCACTGTTTGATCTTCCTGAGGAGACTAAGAACAGGCACGTTAATCCTAAGCCATATCGAAGTTACTTAGGGAAGTGTCCTGTAGTTCCTTTTCATGAGAGCTTCGGCGTTGATGATGCTCCAACTCTTGATGCTTCTCAAGCTTTTACCAACCTTATGTGGCCTGAAGGGAACCCAAGTTTCTGGTAAGAGTACTACTCTCCTGATCCCATCATCGTTCTTGATGTCTTCTTCTTTTTCATGTGGTTGATGTAATTTATGCAAATGATTGAGTTTCTCTTGAAGACGATGCCTTTTTTCCCCTAAGATTATCATCAAATTCCAGGCTATAAATCATGAGTTCTACCCACAACAAAAACTAATTTAATGTGTAATGGCTTTATAGCATGCAATTAAATTCTATATTTGTTGACTGTTTCTAGTTGATTAGTTAATAATCAGTCATCACTAAATGATTGTCTTCTCATTAATGCCCACCTCTTAATTCCTTGGTCCTTATCATGACACACACAAAAAAGAAACTGCCCCCCTTCTTTAGTTAATTTCTTCCAAAGCCAGCTTTCAGATAATTAATTTCCTTTCTTGTTTGGGATGTTCCAGCTGTTCTTCATCTACTGAGCTCTAACATGTGTTAATGTCATGGCCAGAGACCCCTGGTCGCTATCCACTGAAATTGATCTCCAAAAACTGCAAGAAAAAGAAAAAGAAAAGGAAAACTCAATAAAATAAAATCATAGCAAAAACATATGAAAAGGGTACGGTACAGCTATCATAGTATTTGGTGGGATCTTACCTTGGCCAGTAGAAAGTAGAAACTAAGAAATAAAGGTGGTTTGTAGCTTTTGTCACATCAGTAGCCACACTTATTACTCAAACATGATAATGGCTGCTACCAGACAGGCTTGCTAGCTGCCAATGCACAATTTATTAGGGGCTTATCCTTTGAAACAGATTGAATTTATTACAATGCCAGCTTCAAAATGATTGTTCTAATTCAAAAATTCATGCACATGTCTTAGCAGGAAAAAAAAAAAAAACCCGGAACCACAGAGATAGAAGACTTAGCTTTTGTGTAACTGTTGGCAGTTCCATTAAATTCCATGTGGTCTTATTATCAGGTCGTGTGCAGTAATGCCAGAATCCTGAATTTAATTTTTGGTCATCATTCATCATTACTGGTGAATGATCTTTTTCTTTCTTTAACAGCTGGATTCTAAGTTTTCTACGTGGTACTTGAAATTGTGAGTGGAATAAAAACACATTTCTTTATGGTTTTTCATTCCGATCATGGCGGCATATTGTGTAAACAAACAAGGGATAAATCATATTAAAGAGAGGTGGCTGGCAACCCGGGCACCAACCAATTTTGCATTTTGTTCTTCTAAAATTCAACGCAATCCTGTTAGTGTTCACATTCTGGTAATAAACAAGAACAAGATGCATGAAATGTGCCTAATAGGATATGGCTGGCAGCATTAATTATTATTATTATTATTATTATTATTTTGGGTGTAGCGAGACAATCCATAGCATGAGCTCAAAGATGCAAGAATTGAATTTTCTGGTGATGAAGATGATTTATGAAAGTTTTGGCATCGAAAAGCTCTATGACTCTTTCCTTGAGGAAACCACCAGTATACTTAAGGTGATGAAGTATAAAGTTCCTCCAAGTGATACTGAGTCAGCCATTGGTCTAGTGGCTCACACAGACAAAAATGCTATCACCATTTTATGCCAAAATGAAGTTCAGGGTCTTGAGGTTCAAGCCAAGAATGGAGATTGGGCTCAAGTCATGGTTCCTGAAAATGCTTTCACAGCTATTGTTGGTGATACTGTCAAGGTAAATCTTTATTTTCATTTTAATCATAATCCAGACAGTCATTCATGTGGAGCGATTTTGTCGATCTGCCGTTAATTATACACAAATGCGAGACTGAGATTGTATGCTAACTGGTGTTGCAGGCATGGAGCAATGGGAGGCTTCATGCAGCAAGGCATAGGGTGGTGATTAGCGGGGACAGAGACAGGTATTCTTGTGGGCTGTTTTCAACTCCGAAGGAGGAAGCAGTGATCGAGGTGCCAAATGAACTTGTGGACAAAGAGCATCCTCTTCAATACAGGCCGTTTAATTTTTCAGATTATCTCTCATACTTTGTTTCCAAATTAAGTGATGATGCACTGGAGATATATGCTGGCATCTGAAGACGTTGTTGGGTTATATATATATATATATATATATATATATTATTACATTTGATACTATGATTCAAACTTGAAATATTCTTACTCGAGTCTTTGTCAATTATAAGTTTTCGATTGAATTATATGAATATTATCTTGAAGTGATTTAGTAAATTTAGTAAATTAAAAAATTAAAAAATAATGACACAAATTAAAGATAAAAAATACAAGTATAAATATATCATAAATGATTGATAAAAAAAGCTTGATTTTTAAAATAATTATATTTTTTTAATATTAAAATAATAATATATTGGATTAGTTGTGATTAACTTGATTTAACTTATCAAATCTTACCATTTAAATTGTGAATTTTAATAGATTTGATAATATTTTTTTATTTTAATTATTTAATAAAAAATAATTTAAAATCAATCTAATATTAAATTATTATATTTAAAAAATAATAAAAAATTAATTAAAAATTCACTGCTTAATGATTTAGCAATGACAAAATCCCGTGGGCTCCTTAACCTCGTCTTCTAGTTAATCTTCAATGATTTTTGTGATAGGATTTTCGTTTCAAAGGAGGAGTGAATTACACATGTCATCCATGTGTTATGGTCATTTTATTATATGAGTCCCTTTACTACTAATTTGATGAATTGAGTCCTTTTGTATTTTATTTTGTTTGCAATCGAAACCTTCCATCCAATATGCTGTTAATGGTGATGATTGATTTTGTCATGTTCCCGAAACTAGGTTTAAGCATGCCTGTATTATCTAGCTTTCAACCTTAAAATATGAGAGCTAATTTTACAATGTTCATCAAAAACCACAAATGCCAAAACAAAAGATTTTAAATATTTGCATTTCATAGATAATCATATACTAAAAAATTTACTAAAGATAAAATATGAAAAATCTTATTACAAGTACTCAAAATTATTAATAATGAATATTTAATAACAATTCAAAAGATATTCTTTATTAAATAGAAATCATTCAGTTCAACTAACAACATAAACTAGTAGTGTAAAATTTTTTTAAAAAATTAATCTTACGTGCATCATAACGCAGACTAATGATCTAGTTTTAGCTTATAAATTTAAACTAAAAGACAAGATTTCAAGATATGACATCATCTCAAGTTAGAGTTCTTTGAATTTGAAATCTGTATAAATTCACTATTATTTGTGCTTAATTTGATTAAATAGAAAATGAATGGTAAGATTTGAATTATTGATTGTTTGATCAACAAAACTTTACTATCATGTCAAAAAATCATCTCAACCTAAAATTATTAGATAAATTATTAAGATATAATTTATTTTATTTAAATAAACTAAACTCATAAAGTTCTAAAACTATGTAGTTAGAATTTTCTCCATTGTATGTTCTCACTTATCATATAAGACATCAATAAGTGATAGTATGTCTACTTTGTTGATTATGAGATTTGAATCACACTAATTTGAATTTCTTAATTTTACCAAGATTAGGTTCAACTATTTCTTTATTTGAAATTAAAGTTGAACATACTTTTTATTAAAATTTAAAATTTTAATTTTATTTAAAATTATATTTTTAATATTTTTGGATTGTTTTGATGTGCTGAGGTCAAAAATAATTTTTTTTAAAAATATTTTTTAATATATTTTTAAATAAAAAAACATTTTAAAAAACATAATTATACTATACTCCAAAATAAATCATACTTCAACAAAACAAAAGCTCAACTGAATAGTGCCTCATCCAAGTATATGATGGAGTTGAAGTGAATATATATATATATATATATATATATATATATATATATATTTTGATATATAATATCATAAATTTCAGTTTGACTGTAATTTTAATTCCTAAAAAAATATTACCATTTCACTCAGTATATTTTTATAGCTAACATAAATTTTTTTGATAATAGTAATAATAATAATAATTTATTTTTTTATACATTCTTTGATGTTAAATCCACGTGTTGAACTTACACGAAACGAAGAATTTTACATAAATCTTAGATGGCTGCTTACCTTGATTTTTTTTTATTTAATATAAAAAATATCATTATATCACTTTACGTGTTAATTAGATACTAAACAACAAGAATAATAATTTAACTCGAACAGAATCATAATATATTTTTATGAATAATTATTTTATTTAATAAATAATAAATATAATATAAATATCATGAAACCGACTTGAAATACAAACCAAACATATATACGATCATACCATGCCGAGCACACGAATCAACCAATGGCCGAAAGATTAATCGTACGTTTGATTCCTATTCTCTTACAATTTTATTTCTATGGACCCTTTACTCCTTTTCGTTTTCAATTGATCCCTCAACTCAAGAAAAGTTTTTAATCTAGTCTCTCCATCCAATTTATCATTAGATTTGAACACGTGGCAGGAGATGCTCCGGAGAAGTGCCCCTTTTCTTATATGCTAACGGAGTTTGGATCAAGGGACCATATTAAAAACATTAGTAGAAATGAGGGACCAAAAAAAAATTATAAAGACAATCTCATGAGTATACGGACCAAATATACGATCAATCCAACAACCGAAATCTCTTTAATTTCCCATAATCATCATCTGATTTAGGCTAGCACGCGACCTCTTCGATCTTTTCATAATAAAAAGAAACCTTAAAAAAACCCAAGTGATTTTCTCGTACACATGCAACAACAACACGATGACGATACTAACAAGGTCACGCGATTTGAAGAGGAAGAGCTACAAAGTGCAAGAGCTTCAGTAGAAACACTGACTGCCAATTTGGGCAATCTGGTCAGCAAATTATTTATTAAACATGTATTAATCTAGGTGGATTTTTTTTCTTATTCTCTTGTGGGTTATTAATTTTGTGCTGTTAAATTTTGTGGGTTCTTGTTAGAATCAAAGAAAGGCTGATGTTTTGAACAATTTGGAACAATTACGAGAAAGAATCAATAAAGAAGGAGATGCTACTTATACCGGGGTGCAGAAATTAGTCCCTCTTTTGAAGTCACTAAAGGTAGTAAAAGAATAAAAGTTAACTAATCACACTTTGTTTTGTAAGGTGCTAGTGGTGAATCTTGAGAAAAGTTCTTTCCTTTTTGGGTTTTTGTTTTGTTTTTATAGGATTTGGAATCGCAAGAATCCGTTTTGCAATCTGATTACGATGTGAAGAGAACTGAATTGGAAGCTGAAGTTTGTAATTTGGAGGAGAAAATAGCTGCTGGGATGGACAGTGAGGGTTTGTGTAAGGACTTTGATTGTTTATTGAGTGAGTCACTGGAGAAACTCAATGCAGCAAAGAAGGTTTAAAAAACTTAAATAAGTTGCTCTTTCTGTTACTGTTTAGTTTGTTTAATTCTTTTTGGGAATTTGAATTGATTTGCAGTTAAAGTTAAATTCTTCAGAGATGGTGATGTGGTGTTTTATTGTGTTAGGAATTAGCAGCTAGATTGAGGGCAGTGATGTCAGTAAAGCGGAAACTTGGTGAAGTGCCAACACAATCTGAACTTATCCAGTATGTTGATTCATTTCCCTTCAGTATTTTTAACTTTTCTTGTCTGGTTTTATTGCCCTTTAGCACTTCACATATCTAGCACACAAGATGTTCCAGAACTTGGAGCAAGTAAAATATCATAGATGCTGAAATGCCATGGGGTTATTTTTAATCATGTAACACATGAGCATTTCATTCACATAAATTGTTAGAAGTCGGCTGCAGTATTATTGGTGTTTCTATGAACTTTAGCAAAAATCAGTTGTAATTTAATTTGGTACTCTTCAATTTAGTGATCATTGTAAATCATTATTCACCTTACACATTAATGTTGAATGTACAAACACCCCCACACGCCCCAAACCAATCTTCTTGTTCCATAATGCCGATTAAAAGCAAATCATTGAGATGATGCCTTTTCTCAGTTGTCTTCGGGAAATTTTTCTTTGCTTTACATTACAGTGGTGACTGGAAATTGATGCTAGTGATTCCTCCGTAGAGGCACATTTATTGATCTAAGTTTGCCATGGCTTCTTTGTCTCTAATTTTCTCCTTTTGCCTCAATTTATTTTTTTCTATCTGTTTCTTGGTGACAACAGATATTGTCAATATGTTCAAGAGAGATTTTCTCTTAGCTTCATGGGAAATAGTGAATTTAGTAATTACATAATTCCTTGTCCTCGTCTCTAATCCTTAATGATTTCAACTATAGTCTAAGTTGATGGGATTTTCATTTCAAAGGAGGGGTGAATTACATATGTCATCCTTATGATATGGTCATTTGATTATTTGAGTCTCTTTACTACTAATTTGATGAATTGAGTCCTTTTGCATTGTATTTTGTTTGCAATCAATACCTTCCATCCAATACATTGTTAGTCATGATCTATTTTGTTTAAAATCAAGTCCTCTATATTGAATAATTTTGCTCAAATCTTTAGTTTGAAAAGAAGAATAATTTTCTATAAAATGAAGATTGATTTTTAAAGGGAAAATTACCCATAACTTCCTATAGTTTGGTCGAAATTGCACTTAACTACTGACTTTTGAAAAATTATATTTTACATCATTGGTGAGTGTAAAATAGATTAAACTATAGGATTTTAGGATGAAAATTGACATGCAGAGCTTTTGTAAGTTACCTCTTTCAAATATGAATTTCTACCCCATTGCTTAGACTTCCACCTTATCATCATAGCTGCAAGACATGCCTTTTCTGATTCTGTTCCAAAACTTTCCACATTCTAAGGATGAGTGTGCCTATACATCTGTCATTTTACGTATGAGTGTAATTGCTACTATTTGATATTACACGTTTTGCTACCTATTTTAACTTTTTAATGTTTGATATTGATTGACACCTGATCCAATGCTGCATCTCTCATTCTATGTATGAATGTAGTGGCTACTATTTGATATTGCGATTATTGCTACCTGGTTTAACTTTTTAATGGCTGATATTGATTGACTCCTGATCCTATGCTTTCATTTCAGGTATGAACGTGGGTTTTCAGATGTGAATGATCATATCCAGGTTT